TGTTGTTGTTGTTGTTAAAGTTCTTCCAAGTCAGTTTTGACTCATAGTAACCTTATACAGGATTTCCTAGGAACGATTGCTGGTTTTGAACCACTGACTTTGCAGTTAGCAGTATCCTACGGTGTCACACCAGGACTCCAAACGTAATATGTTGTTGTTAAGTGCCGTCAAGTTGATTCTGACCCATAGTGACCCTGTATAGGGTTTCCAAGGAGCAGCTTCGGTGAGCTTGAACCGCTAACCTTGCAGTTCAATGGCTTTGCAGTCTGATGCATTAGCCCACAGCGCCACACCAGGACTACTGAAATACAATATAGAAAACATTTATTATTACCAAGTGTTGTGCATCTCTGGTAAGGTAGCATTGCTATGCCTTTACAGTGTTATAGAATTAAGTTATGAATGCTGTCACTCAAAATCAAAGGCTTTATAAATCAAGTAAAATCTCATAACTAAGATGAATACGTTTCTTTCCCTCTCATGCTGCCTCATATAAAATACTTTAGTTTTATAGTACAACTTGATGTGAATGTTAAAGGGGAATTCTCATTTATTTTCTATTTCAATGTACTGTTTTTGCTTTGCTAAAGTATCATTAGTGTCCCAGGAAAAAGATTAAGAAAAGTTATGCATTTAAAGAAAAGTAATACAAAACTACAAAGGCATACAATAATTCTTTGTAGATTAGGAGGAAATTTGACCAAAATACTGGACTGCCTCCCTTCTTTTCTCTCTTTGATTGCCTACAGTAAATAATATTGAAACCTTAAATTGTAGCAAATAGTGAAACCCTAATATATTATTCGTTTTTCCCCTGATGTTTTGTTGACTATGAAGGATGATGATTGATATATGTCTATATATCTATATCTATGTGTATGTGTGTGTGTGTGTGTGTGTGTATACATGTAAGTGTATATACATACATGTTGTTGTTGTCAGGTGCCATCGAGTTGGAACCGACTCATAGCAACCCCATGCACAGCAGAACGAAACAATGTCTGATCCTGGGCCAACCTCACTACCGCTGCCACACTTGACATACCTAGATATATATATATATGTATATATATATATTGGAGGGAGTGTGTTACCAGTAGTTGATGTAAATGTTGATGACTGTGTATGCTAATTGTTGGGGACATAAGATATCAAGAAGAGCTATGACTTTGCAAGCTGAAGGTAAACATAATTCTCACTGTTGTTTTGTAACTTCCCCAAAGCAGGGAATTAGGGCAATGACCCTGATCTGAAAATACATGAAGATGAAAAATAAATTAATTAAAGGAGAAGGAAGATTTAGAGTTAAGTTATTTAGATCTGATTAGGTTCAGTCTAAGGAATCCTGTGGGCTGCTAACCAACAGGTCAGTGGTTCAAACCCAGCAGCCACTCTGGGAGAAAGATGTGGCAGTCTGCTTCTGTAAAGATTTACAGCCTTGGAAACTATAGAAAAGATCTGCTCTGTCTATAGGGTCACTATGAGTTGGAATCGACTTAGTAGCCAATAGTCAGTTGAGTCTGCATTTGATTGAGTCTGTTGGTCTAGATTGGAAGATGAAGCGCTGGGGTACCATTGGCTTGGCTTAGGAAACCTTGAGGGTAGTTTGCTCCAAATGCAGGCTCTCTGAATAAAGATGCTATTGGTGACAAAGGACTGAAATTCAGGAAAGATGTCAGAGGTGGAGATAAAGATTTAAGATCTGAGCAATTATAGTGATGGATGAAAGTTTGCAGGAATCCCATTTCTCCAGGGTAAAGAGATTACAGGAGAGCAGAGGATTTAGGACTGAGCCTTGGGGAATCTTTAATGTTAGGATGTGGGGGAAGGAGAGAAACTGAGTATAAACTAGTGTGTACGGCTGTAGAAGTCACCATTTGCCTTTGCCTGTCCTGGACAGTAATGAGCCACATCACCTCAGTTACAGTGGGCAGAGGGTGGGGGATCTATGAAATCCTTGAGACGCTACCTCAGTGCAAGTTGTGATAGATATAAAAAGAGGCTTATAGTTTCTCTTAGGGGGCACAGGTACAATAGTGAGAGAAAACAAGCCAAGCCCATTGCTGTCAAGTCAAATCCTGACTCATAGAAACCCTGTGGACCAGGCAGAACTACACTTTTATGGAATCAGATTGCCACATCTTTCTCCCAAGGAGCAGCTGGTGGGCTTGATAGGCCAACCTTTCAGTAGCAGCCAAAACCCTTAACCACTGCACTGCCAGAGATCTCATTAGTGAGGGAAATGCCCTCTATTATTATGAATCTTAGCACCTACAAGGATTCCTTACAGTCCTTATAGGTGCTAAAATGATATAGTTCCTCCTAGGGGACATTTGAAGGATACCATGTTTAGTAAAGTGGAGGGTCAGAGAAAAAGAGGAAGACCCCCAGTGAGATGGATTGACAAACTGGCAGCATGGATGGACTCAAGCGTGGCAACAGTAGTGAGGTTGGCCCAGGATCAGGCAGTGTTTTCGTTCTGTTGTACATAGGATCGCTATGAGTTGGTACCAACTCAATGGCACCTAACAACAACAACAACAGGGAACATTTGGAGTCTTGGTGTGGCACTGTGGGCTAATGCGCTGGACTGCAAAATTGTTTCAAGCACAAGGTTGGTAGCTCAAGCTCACCAGTTGCTCCTTGGAAACCCTATATAAGGTCGTTATGGATTGGAACTGACTCAACAGCATTTAACAACAACAAAGGGGACATTTATGAATCTAGAAGGTTTGATTAATACAGTTCTTAAACTTATACTATCAATATACTACCAATAAATTCTTTCTCTTCCAGATTTGCAGATAGATTATGTAGGTGATTCGGTTAATCCAGTTCTCAATTTATGCTATCAATGAATTCTTACTTTTTCAGATTTGCAGATAGATTAAATAGGTACTTTGAAACTAAGATGTTATTTGATTTTAAAGACCCTTTTATTTTGGCTAGAAATAAACTGATCATGAGAGAAACAGAAAGACAAACCTGGCAGGAAATAATTGTGCAACCTTTGATTTATCATGCGAAGTTTTAAATTATTTTCAGTTCCTTGCCAGGGGAGGAAAAATGCTAGAGTCACCTTTGTCCCAGATCTAATATTTAAAAGTACAGTTGCAGTACATCTGGTTTGGCATCCTGTGTAACTAACTGTAAAACGTTTTGAAGGACATGCAGATTTCCCTACTATTTGAACATAGAGCATTCCTATGAAACCTAAGCTGAAATGGTGGTTTAACAGGAAGAAACAATTACCATTCATTTACATGGGAAAATGTTTTGAGGATTCCCAGACTCAAAAAATTGTCTAGCAAATCATACCAAATGAGCACATAAAACCTATAGTAAAAGCAGAAGTGATAAGATAAATACACGACCTATGTAAAGGGGAGTAATGTATGTGCAGTGTAGTTCCCGGGGTTGGAGTGTGGGGACACACTCTTACTGCTTGGGGTGGATGCTGCCTCTTAAAGGTTCGCTGCAAAACAAACACAGAATGCATTTTCACTTTTTTAACCTTTTTTCGTAAAAGTGGAAATCCTCTTCAGATTTCTTTCAGTTAGCAAAAACAGCTACTAATGTAAGTCTTTTGTAAGAGCCAAGTGGCATGAAGCTAACTTTCAAAAAGTGGTGGGATACCTGTACCTTGATTCTCAAGAAATTAAGGAATGCTCTAATGACCAAATTACTAAACATGAACAAATGATCATGTAGACCATTTGGTGGTGTTGTTAAGTAAAGCTGTGTCTTTTCTGACTCATAACAACCCTATATAGGGTTTCCAAGAGCAGCTGGTAGATTTGAACCACCGGCCTTGCTGCACCACAAATAAGAAAAATGAATACCATGTGGTGAATGAAAATCAATGTTGAACTACTTCAGTTTTCTCTTGGGACTTCATGTGGCCTCGCAACTTTCAGTCTTGGCCCCCCTACCCCACTACCAAAAATACCAAAAAACAAAAAGAAGAAAAGAGTCACTTCCTTCCCTTCTCCCCTTCCCCTCAAATTCTCATGCATTGTAAGGAATCGTTGCTTACAGTTGTCCTGATTTTTAAAACCCATATGAGAGAGTCTTCTTCGTGTAGTTCTCATGAGTTAAATAAACAAACACAGTAATAGATCACATTATGACAATGTGATAAACCCCCAAGTCCAAGGACATCCATTGCTACTCTAAAGTAAACATCATAATCAGCAGTCATGTCAGCATGTAGGCAACACCAAAGGCACGTTTGATTTCACAGAACTGACATATTAGCCTGTCTGGAAATACTTCAATAATCAACAAAGAATTCAAATAGCTGAGACTCCAAAAGACACTTTGGTCTCAATTATCCAAGTTATCTAAGGCCATTGCCTCTGGAATGTAAAGAACAGCATGCCTGAAGATTATAGGAATTTACTATTTGATGAACAGTAGTATTATCAGTAGATTTTTAGGATGGTTCTTACATTGGATGGATTCAGGAAAAAAGGTTTGGAACTTAAATTGCCCAGAATAGTTAAGTCAAAAATTTATATATTTGTGACTATACAGTTATTAAACATTTTCTCTCCATTTTCTTGACTAATTGTATATCTCGATCCAAATTCTGAATCCTGTTTGATTTTATATATCATGTTAGGAAAATGTTTATTGAATCTATAATGTTGTGATACCATATACTATTTCCAACTCCTATGTTATTTAAATACAATTTGATACTTAACAAAGTAGAGCAGAACAGAGTAGTTAAGAGAACAGATTCTAGAATAAGACAGAATCAGTTTTAGTTCTTGTTACTCATTTTTTAGCTGTGCAACTGTAGGCAAGTCACTTAGCCTTTATTTGTCTCCGTTTCCTCATCTGATATGCAGATTAAATTAATTATTTCATGTAATGAATTTACCACAGTACCTGGCACATACTAAGAAGTCAATAAATAAGCTCATATTCTTGTCATTGCCTTGCTAGATTTTTAGAAATACTAAATTCAAATTCATCAAATGCTTCATTTTTAGGGTCGTTGTACTAGAGACAACTGCAAGTACCTCCACCCACCTGCACACTTAAGAACGCAGCTGGAAATTAATGGACGGAACAATCTGATTCAACAAAAGACTGCCGCAGCCATGTTCGCCCAGCAGATGCAGTTTATGCTACAAAACGCTCAAATGACATCGCTCGTAAGTCACGGCTACATCTTTAAAATTTTGTATTTATATATATATGGAGTCCTGGTGTGGCACTGTGGATTAATGCGCCAGAACTGCAAAGCCATTTGAACTGCAGGGTCGGCGGTTCAAGCTCACCAGCTGCTCCTTGGAAACTCTACACAGGGCTGCTATGAGTTGGAACTGACTCAATGGCACTTCACAACAACAACCTACCTTGCGGTCCAGTGCTTATCCTGCAGTGCTACACCAGGATTTGAAAGGGCTATGTTATCTTTATTTGTTGCCCATGTCATTAGTAACTTTATAATAAGCATACTGAAAAGTGAAAAATGTATTGAATATTCAGATGGATGCAATGAAAATGTAGAAGTTAGGACCATCTGCTCATAGCAGAGTCTAGTTTCTGATAAAATTATTTCTCAGAACTCAGGATGTTGCTGTTATTATTGTTTAGTGCCATCAAGACAATTCTGACTGACAGCCACCCTGTATAGGGTATCCAAAGAGCGACTGGTGGGTTTGAACTGCTAACCCTGTGTTTAGTTTAGTAGTACAGTGCTGATCCTACAGCACCACACCAGATATGAATAGGTTCATGTAAAAATGTATGAATCACTAAAATGTTACAGCATGATAGTTTTTCCAGAATGTCTAGACAAATTGAAGTAAAAAAGATTATCTTGTTCTGTACTATTAATTTGCCAAATATAATTGCTTGAGAATTTGGTACTTATTATGTTGATAAATGAGTCCCAGAAGATCACCAATGAGCTCCTCAAAGCTCCTTGAACCTCAATAATATTTCATATGATTGAACTCCTTTGTGAGACTCTCCTCTTGCCTTTTATACACTACCAAATTTCAGATCCTCCATACTTTTGAAGGGGGCTAAAATGGGAAGGCATTTTCTATACTGCGAGAGTATGAACAAAGCCAAAGAGAAGTGAACATGCAGAATGGGTTTAGAAATGTGACTAGATGGGGAATAAAGCAAGGGAACTTTTCACTAACCATTACTACTCTCGGCCTCATGTGGGCTGCTGCAATTTCAGACTGAACAAAGAATATGAGTCAGATTTTATTATCAAACACCTGAGCCCAGAATTTCCTATATATCTGGAGCGTATATTTTTTCTTAGGTCAAGGGGCAGCTTCAGGGCAACATTTAAATTCCCTGTTTCAAAGAGCAAGGCCAAGGGTAAAGAGGGAAGTCAGATGACTCATCTTCTATTCAGTCTCTGAGAGAATTCACCAGAGTCCAAATCTCAAACATTCATGCACTAGTGAGCATGCTGGCTTACCCTGGACAAGAAGGGTAGACTTTCCTTCATTATTATTATTATTTTTGTGATCATTTTATTGTGTTAATATTCTGACTAATAGTGGCCCTCTAGGAGGAGTAGAAATGCACCCTAAGGTTTCCAAGGCTGTAAATTTTTATGGGAGCAGGCAATGAAAACCATGAGAGTTGGAACTCAGAGGACCTGCTTTGTTTTTTGGGGTCTTGAACGTTTTCCACCTTTGTTTGACAAGGTATAGGCTTACTGCTTTTCTATCCTTTCAATTTGAGTTTTCTTTCTCTGATAGGTTTGTACCTTGCACAAGTGCCATCTTTCACGGGTTTTAATATGCATGTATTTACAAAGGGGCCTTCAAAAAGTTTGAGGAAAAATTTCATTATCTTTTACTTTCATTTTTCCACAATATTTTGAAGCCCTCTCATACGTATGGAGTCCTGGTGTAGTGCTGCAAGATCATACACTGGACCACAAGCTTCAAACCCACCAGTTACTCCTCAGAAACCCTATGCAGGGTCACTATGCGTTGGAACCAGCTCAATGACACTTAGCAACAACAACTCGTATATATATTTATATATATATACACACACATTATATTCATCATGTTGTGCAATCATCATCAGTATCCACTTCCAGTTTTGTTTTTATCACCCTTAACAGAAACTGGTGGTGGTGATGATCATGTACCGTGGAGTCAGTTCCAACTCACAGCAACCCTGTATAGGGTTTCTGAAGCTATAAATCTTTACAGAAGCAGAAAGCTTCATCTTTCTCCTGTGGAGTGGCTGGTAGTTTCAAACTGCTGATCTTGTGGTTAGCCGCCTGACTTGTAACCCACTACGCTACCAGAGCTCGCTAACAGAAATTCAGTTCTCTGTAAGAAATACCTGCCCATCCCCCCAACCCTCACCCACTTGTTACTGGTAACCACTAATAAACCTTGCTCTCTGCATTTGCCTATTCTAGATTATTTCCTACAAGTGGAGTTATACTACATTTGTTCTTTTATATCTGACTTATTTCACTCAACATTCCAATATCAAGTTTCCTCCGTGTCATTGCATGTATCAGAATTTCGTTTCTCTTTATAACTGAGTAATATTCTCTTGTATAGATGTAACACATTTTGTGTATCCATTCCTCTGTTGATGGATGGGCACTTGGGTTTTTACCACCTTTTGGATATTGTAAATAATGTTGCAATGAGAACATTGGTGTGCAAGGATGGGTTTGGGAGTGATTTTCTTAGTACCCAATAAGGGACCCATTCATTGAGTTTTACAAACTCTGGTGCCTTCTGATTTGACGCTTCATGATTTCTTAATAGAATGCATTTCTTCCCTCCTCCCTTTTTTTTTTTTTTTTTTCTCAATGAGAGTCATTTCAGATTCCAGGCTTCAGAAGATGACTGATAGGACTCACACAATTACAATTTATTTTATAGCATATTAGGAGATATAAGACATTACTTAGAAGAACCCACAGAATAACTGGAAGTGACTTTTCTACCATGAAGATTATTTAGAAATAGCTGCTGTGATGTGATAAACTAGTAAGAAAATGAATTGCTGCAGTTATTAGGCACATAAAATTTGAACCCCAAAGGGGTAGTATATATGCTTCTCTTTGGTGGTCTGGGAAGCTGCTTTGTAGGTATATTATAATTGAACTAGTTTGAGCATTTTCAAGTGGCATAGATCTGTCGAATTTGGAATCCTGGTGTGGCACTGTGGGTTAATGCTCTGGACTGCAAAAATAACAACAGCATCAGTCAAATTAAAAAAAAAAAAATCTTAGCATAGTAGTTATGAGTCAGGCTGCTAATATCAAGGTCAGCAGTTCAAAACTACCAGCCATTCCATGGGGAAAAGATGAGGCTTTCTGCTCCTATAAAGATATACAGCCTCGGAAACCCTATACAGGATCACTATGAGTTGGAACCAACTCCGTGGCACATAACCATCACCACCACCAGTATTACTACAAAACTAATGTATAATTTTACTTAATTTCTTTTCTGTCTGCTTTCCTCTAAACACATCTATCCATTTTAACCACTGTCCACTCCAACTTAAAAAACTGATTCGGGTCCCTAAAATAGATACGTTTTTTGGGGGTTTTTTTTGTTTTGTTTTTTTTTTTCAGTTCTAGTCTTGGTGTTAGTATGGTTGTACATTAGTACCTATTTGTTATCACTGGCTTGAACTTCAGGCATTTCCACAAAGCACACTTTAATCTGCTTCTAGGATACCAGAAGAATACATCTGCTTTTGTAAAACTGAATTTGGTTTGCTTATTCTAAGCATCCAGATAAACAGAATGTCAACCTAAAAGGGATGCTAGGTAGAGAACAGATTCTGTTCAGTGTGAGTGAGTGAAAAATGAATAAAAGCCACACCTAGTCAATTTGAATGAAATACTTGCTGGAGCAGATAAGTGTGTTCGCTGTATTTAACAGGTCTGAATCGACATTTGCTAGTATAAAATTCCACCTCTGAATGCTTTTGTTAGCTTTATTTTAAGAAAGTTTAGCAAGTGAGACAAAGGATGTTATTTTTCAATGCCATTAAAAAGAGATTGTGATAAACACAGGAGTAAATTCAAAGTTTAAGAATTTCGCCTTGGCATAATCAGGAGACAAATTTGAGCATCTTAGACAAATGTTAGGAAAAGCGGACATACCATATTACTCTCCAAAAAAGCTAATGTTTTTAACAGTTCAGTTGCACAACTGGGAGTACAAAGCAGGAAAGATTCTCACTGTTGTTTCTGTCTGGTCTGTTGAGTCAGTTCCAACTCATAGCAACACCATACGCAGCAGAACGAAACACTGCCCAATCCTGTGCCATCCTCACAATTGAGATTACACTTGAGCCCAATGCTGCTGCCTCTCTTGTCAGTCCATCTCCTTGGGTGTCTTACTCTTTTTCACTGAACCGTTCACTTTACCTAGCATGATTTCCTTCTCTAGGAACTGTTGTGAGAAATGCTGACCATGTTTGTCCTTCCCTTTTGGTTTTCTAACTCAAGGTCTGTGCGTTTCTTTATAATACTTGACTTTGTCTTCTTGAGCTGCCCTTTGAAATTTTCTGTTCAGCTTTTACTTGCTCATTTCTTACATTCGATTTAGCATCGCTAAGCTGGAGAGAGCAAGTTTCAGAGTCTCTTCGGATATCATTTTGGTCTTTTCCTTCTTGTCTTTTCAATGACCCTTTGCTTTCTTCCTGTATGATGTTCTTGATGCCATCCCACAGCTCTTTTGGTCTTCAATCATTAGTGTCTAGTGAATCAAATCTGTTCATGAGATGGTCTCTAATTTCAGGTGGGATGTATTCAAGGTTGGAGTCCAGGTGTGGTGCTGTGGATTAATGCGCTAGACTACAAAATCAGTTTGAACCACAAGGTCGGTGGTTCAAACTCACCAGCTGCTCCTTGGAAACCTTATACAGGGTTGCTATGGGTAGGAATCGACTTGACGGCACTTAGAACAAAAACAATATATTCAAGGTCATACTTTGGCTCTTGTGAACTTGTTTTCATTTTCTTCAGCTTCAACCTAAACTTACATATGAATAATTGATGGTCTCTTCCATTGCCTACCCCTGGTGTTATTTTGACCGATGATATTGGCCTTTTCCACTTTTCTCTTTCCACAGATGTAATCAATTTGATTCTTGTGTATCCCATCTGGAGAGATCCATGTGTATA